TACCAAGGATCTGGGTGCTCTCCATTACTTTCTTGGTCTGGAGGTTTCACGGTCTCCTGCTGGCCTGACTCTCACTCAACATAAGTATTCCTTGGACTTTTTGCGACATGCTGGTATTTTGCAATGCAAGCATGCTACCACCCCTATGTCTGCGACTGATCGGTTATCAGCCTTAGATGGTGCCTTGCTTCCTTCAGATGATGCTACAGACTACCACAGTGTTGTTGGTGGATTGCAGTACTTGACTATCACATGGCCGGACATCTCCTATGCGGTAAACCATGTGTGCCAGTATCTTCATGCTCCTCGGACTTCACACTGGTCAGCTGTGAAGCGCATATTGCGTTATCTCTCTCATACTGTCTTCGATGGTTTGCATCTTCGGTGTACCTCCTTGAGTGCTCTCTCAGCGTTCTCTGATGCTGATTGGGCTGGGAGCCTGGATGACCGGCGATCAACGGAGGACTATGCTGTCTTTTTTGGTCGCAACTTGATCGCCTGGAGTGCGCGCAAGAAGGCCACAGTCTCTCGGAGTAGCACTGAAGTAGAGTATAAGGTTGTTGCCAATGCCACAGCTGAGCTCATTTGGGTACAGTTTCTCTTGAGAGAGTTGGGAGTCTCTCAAGAGCAGCCACCGGTTCTTTGCTATGATAATACTGGTGCGACGTATCTTTCATCTAATCTAGTTTTTCATGTTCGTACCAAGCACATCGAAGTTGACTATCACTTTGTGAGGGAACGTGTTGCACAGAAACTTCTTCATATCAAGTTCATCTCCTTCAAAGATCAACTTGCTAACATCTTCACAAAACCACTTCCGCAACCTTAGTTTGAAGGTTGTAAGCGCAATCTTAACTTGCTTTATACTTCAGGTCATAGTTAAGATTGAGGGAGGGTGTTAGACAATATATATACGTAACTTCTGCATATATCTTGTACATTGTATTTGTGCATTGTATGTACCCTTATATATATGAGATAGCTACACCTATATTGGACGTCGAGCAGTTTCCCACAAACATAACGTTTTACACAGGCTAGCTAGCTAGGAATTGGAACAAGCTAGCTAGCTTAGCTAACGATGTGGAGTGTGCGGGGCTTGCAGGAGGGTCGGACGGAGCGGCGCGGGGGCGGCTCGGTGAGCGGCGGGGGCGGAGCGGCTAGGTAGAGATTGTAGTTTTTTTAGGCTGATACCATGGGAAACGTTAAGGTTTGGGAAACTGCTCGATACCTAATACGGGTGTGGCTATATTTTTTTTAAACATCAGTATGGACACAAGCGTTCATATATATGCGCATACACTCATCCCTATGAACGCACATATGCACACCCTATCCTTATGAGCATTTTCGAAAGACTAAGCCGACATATCATCTTGAGATTTACGAAGTCACCGTAGGCGCCTCGTCGTCGACAGAAACATCTTCTTTCACTGAATGCGCATCGCCGGAAATCCTGAAATAAATCCAGGAATAAATGCGAGCACCAGGACCCTGGTGGGCTGGGGATATCACAGCCCCTCTAATCATCCAACCACAGGTTGGTTCGCGGTGTGGCTATCTCTTATATATATAGGCGACTAATAAGCGTCGGCACGCCGGCCTAATAGTTCCGCCGGTCCAGTTTCGGCCGTTTGATTAAGTCGCTTGCAGTCGTACGATTGATGCAGTTGTCTTCTCACGAGCGCGTACAAAAAAAAACCCTGCCTCTCATTGCTCCCTTCGCCTTGCCGGGACACACGCTCTCCGATTGCCGCACCTCGCCGGCCGTCCTCGTCGTCGGTGCGCCCTCGCCGGATGTCCTCGTCGCCGGCGGCCGCACACTCGCTGCCACCGCCGGTCGCCGCTTGCACTTGTCGCTGGCTTCAGGCATGCAACAGCTGTGGCTGCGGTTGCAACTCCGATAGCGTAGGTTGCAGCTCCGGCGGCGGCAGGCCCGTCACTCGCCGTCGGCGCTCACCACCGGCACGCTCGCCGTCGTAAAAAATTGCAAACAAAAAAGGCGTGTTGGTTCCAACAAAACTGAAGAACGGTTGTAGCAGAAAAATATGCTGGTTCGAGCAAAAATGCAAGATGATTTTAACAAAAATAATGGATGTTTATTCTAGCAAAACCAAAACAGTAGTAACAAAAAGAAATCATGCTTGCAACAAAAAAGGAAAATGGTTCCAGCAAAAACTATGAATCATCGCCGCAGGGCGTAGCAAAAAAAATCACCACTTCCAGCAAAAAAAATGCTGATTCCAGCAATGATGCATCGCCGACGTGGCCGTTGCAACACGGTTGTCGCCGGTTCCAGCATTTGTTTTGCCGGTTGCACCTCCACCGGCCTATGGTTGTAGCTCTGCCGAAGTACGGTTGCAGCTCTGCCACGCTAGTGTAGCAGCATCTCTGCCGGCGAATCACATCGGTGGTTGGCGGTGGCCGCTCGCTTGTAGCCCGTCGTCGCCTCCCCAAAAACAGGGGACTCCACTGCAGCGCTGCTTGCAACACCCCCACCCGCCGTCCCCTACCCAGAAAAAGAGGGCATCGGCAGCAAGTGTGGTCGCAGTATTCGAGGGCGATGGCGCGCGCACCATGGCGACGAGCTCACCTGGGTGACCCATGGTGACGCTAGCAGCGCAACTCCCCCTTTGCAGCAGCTCTGAAGGGTGTCGCACGAGCGCTCTCAATAGCCCTCTGTAGCATGGGGGTAGGGGAGGGAGGAGTAGAGAGAGGAAGGAGATGAGCAAGGTCGTGGCTGCCGCTCCCATGGCTGGCGATGAAAAAGGAAAGGAGAAAGAGAGATGCAAGGGGGAAATAAGGATGGGAGGGTGCTGGGCGGTGTTAGGACCCACAAAACGAGTGGCTAGGGGCGTTTCTATCGTACAGCGCAGGAACGACCGGCCCGAGCGTTCTGCCGGCGCGCCGCACACAAACATTACCCATATATATATAAGGGTACACGAAGTGTACAAATACAATATACAAGATATACACAGAAAAAAGAAAAAAGGAAACACAGCACAAACCAAAACCAAACTTGTGAACCCACATGACCTAAATATAGCAGCCATATACTGGATGCACGCATCAAGCTGGATCTAGAGAATCACGAAGGTTACACCATATCCACATGCGTTTTTCCTTTGCCGCTCAATTTCGTGCCCCCCCCCCCCCTTTCATTTCCTGCGAACAGCAGGATGCGAGGATCACATGTTAAATGCACTAAGAGTCAAAACCTTTGCATGGAGAATTCTAAGAAGAGCTTTAGCTTCAGGGCTTAGAGGATCCAGGTATTCTACTCACATTAAAAAGAAATGTTGCAGGTGCGGCGAGACGGAGACAAACTTGCATCTTTTCTTTACTTGCAATTTCACTAGAGCTATTTGGTTCCTATTTGGACTTAAGTCTGATGAGTTCAATCATAACTTATATCCTTCTGATGTGATTCAAAGGATTTTATCTTCTCATCATGCTGACTTAGATCTGGATACCAGTTTCACGTTGCTTTGAAATATTTGGAAAGCGAGGAATGATCTTCTTTTTAATAAGAAAAAATGGAGTATTATGCAGGTTATATATGCTACAAACGCTATGCTAAATGCGGAGCTAATGGACGAGAAGGCGGCGGCTCACATCAACCCTGCAAACAATAATATTTCTCCTTTTCACGTTCAAAATATACGGTTCCAAAATGCAGGTCTTTTGGCGTACAGTGATGCTGCGTACAATCCGGAAATTGCAAAAGAAGAAGCTGATCTTGGAGTTTTTCTTAGAAATGTTAGTAACAACCATACTGTATTTGTTCAAGCTGCTGCAAAAAATGTTTGCTCTGTTTTGCAGGCTGAAGCTATTGGATTATCACTGTCGGCTGAGGTGGTTAAAGCTCTAGGATGAAATACTGCTATTTTCTTATCTGATTGCAGGAATCTTGTCCAGGTGGCTAAAGCAAGAAACCTTTTAGAGAGTCCAGGAGATTGGAGGATAAGACCTATGCTTGCTGAATTTCTTAATCACACTTCTTTTCTTTCATCATGTGAAGTCAGGTCTATACCTAGGAATGAGAATGTCATTGCTCATTCCCTAGTTAAGAAAGCTTTTATGCAAAGAGCTGTCTCTAGTTCTTCAATCTTATGCAGCAAATCTTCTGAATGTAAAGCTCAACAAGCTTTAAACTCTATCTCCTTTCCTTTTAAAAAGTTGATCTCTATACACTGTTTGGGTTGCAAATAAATAAAATCAAGGGCACTATTTGAGGGCAAAAAAAAAACATGTTAAATGCACCGAAACAAGCCCAAAGGCACAGCAGGAGCGGTGCAGAAGAAACACTGAATCGGCCACACTACTCCTGGACCTGGTAAAAGGGAAAGAAAGGGACTCGTCCATCCATGCCCGTGGACCAGAGCAGCCCGCGGCGCACGCTGTCGGCTCAAACCGGGCACCGGCGTGGGAAGTTGCTCCGCCAGGAAGCAACCGAATGAATTTCCGCTCGTGGCTTAATTTTCATTTCCTTTGCGTCCCCATCAGCCGCGTGCCCCGTTCACTTCACACGCCTCTTCCGACGCAGGCCGTAGAGTCCGCGTGTGCCCATTCCCACTCGTCTCGAGCTGTTGGAGTGGTTGGCACCACACGCGGCGCCCGATTAGTGGAGGTTCCATCTCATTATTTCCTTCGACCACCTAGTAAATCAAATTGGTTAGTGGTGCCGACGGAGACGGAGGGTGGGTCGGTCGCTTTCTCGCCGATCGCCATCTTTTCGCGCGTTCCGACCTGCGCTGCCGAGCAATGAGACTTAATTTGAGAGACGCGCGGCGACGACGACATGGGTCGTGAGCTCATGCAGCGGTAGCTCCACACCGGCGACCAGTAGCCCGCAGCTCTCGTTTTTTTCTATATATATTAGGCCTCGCGCTCCCGATCGAACGTAACAACTCCGCTCATTGCCCATAGGCCATAGCCACGCCAGACGAGCGCCTCCATACCCCCTCTACTCTACGTGCTCGAGCTTGGGATCGAGCATGTCGTCGAGAGCGCCGCCGGTGGAGCTCGACTTCCTCGGCCTCCGCGCCGCTGCCCCCAGCGAACAACACGGCAAGAGCACCGGCTCCTCCTCCGCCTTGTCGTCCATCCGAGGTCCGAAACTCCGAATGTCAGATTATTCTAGTTTATCCCTGCCTCTTGTGTGTCTGTGTATGCGCGCGCGAATGCTGACTGGAACTGCATGGATGCGTGCGGGCAGGGATGGAGACGAGCGCTATAGCGAGGATAGACCCCCAGCTGCTGCGCCGTGTCGTCGTCGCCCGCTCGCCGGCGACCACGGAAGAGCCGCCAGCGGCTCCCAGTCCCATGACGGTCTTCTACAACGGCTCCGTTGCCATCTTCGATGTCTCCCACCACAAGGTGATTATCAATCTCCGCGCCTGTAGCTTCATTTGCATATTACTCTTCTCTTCGTTAGACTCTCAACTTCGACCATCTGATAAGACAGTTTGTTACTAGTATATTTAGATGCATACATTCGGTACGCATGTAAACTGTTCAAAACAATAATTGTTGTTGTTCAGATGTACCTTAAAGCACTTAGTCCGATGTCAGATTTCCAAAAATGAACTTACATATTTCTTTTGATTAGAGAGAATTAAGGTATGCATATAAAAGTAAGCAGATGCAGGAGATGTATATTATCAAATTCATATACTAATGTTGCCTTCGACATCTTACCAAATATTTTGACAGGCAGAGGCTATAATGCAGATGGCGAGGGACGTAAAGATGGCAGAAAGGCGCGACCTTGGCAACAATACGCCTGTTGGAAATTCAAGGAGAGGTTTGTTTAAATAAGGGTCCCGATAACTGCTATACGTGTGGTGTATCAGGTAGTTGTGTCACACGCCTCGTGTGGCATGAACAGCAACCAACTCACACATCTACGTGTGGGCAAAACAACTAATGCCCACACACATCTTTTTTTCCCTCCTAAACCCTCTCATACGCGTGCGTGTGGACGAAGTTGATAACGCCCACACGCCCGTATGTCAGGCCTCATACCCTTCTGGTCCCGCACGCGACGCGTGACGCCCACCGCGCGCTCACAGTTGCCATGGTCCAGACCCTCGTTCATGTTCGTTTATCTGCAGTTGCCATGTCGCTGAACTACGGTTGCCATGTCGGGCAACTGTAGTTGCCATGTATGGTCTGATCTAATGTAGTTGCCATGATTTCATAACTTTAGGAGTTGTCACATACTAACACTAAGCAGTTGAGAGAGTTGCCATGTGCTCACAAGCATGCTAGGGCAGTTGCCATCTAAAAAGGAAGAGTTGTCATCTGCTTACGTGCACGTTAGGGCAGTTGCCATGTACGTGCACGTTGGGGCAGTTGTCATGTACCATGCAAAAACACATGGCAACTCGGTAAAAAACAGTTGCCATCTGCTTACGTGCACACTAGGCAGTTGCCGTGTATCCTGCAAAAACACATGGCAACTCAGGTAAAAAAGAGTTGCCACCTGCTTATAAAGCACACTAGAGACAGTTGCCATGTGCGCTGCAAAAACACATGGCAACTAGCAGCTTACGTGTGGGAGAGGAGACGGGCGTGTGGGCGAGATGGCAAATGCCCACACACCAGCCCTTGTGCATGACTGAAAACTGGTGTGTGGGTGAACTGCTAAACGCCCACACACCGGCCCCTCTGTGTGGTAAAACCGATGTGTGGGCGAACTATGTCACACACCACACACACGCCTTGTCCTACGTGGCACAAAAAATCAGCCAGATTATGTCAAGATTCGTGCATATAGTATTGAATGGTGATGGATGCGTGTGGTCGAGATGGTCAACGCCCACACGTATGGGCATTAACATTTCCGTTAAATAAAAACTCATCATGAGCAAACAAAAAATTGTAATAAGTAAAAAAGAAAAAGAGTTCGTTGGACACTTGATAAAGTCGTTGCTTACAATTCTAATATTCATGTTTGCAGACATACCACTGGCAAGAACAAAATCGTTGCAGCAGTTCCTCGTGAAGCGTAAAGAGAGGTAAATACATACAATTGTATATATTGGAATTATGTTTTAGCCAAATAATATCAATTTGTCGATGGAACAAAACCATAAGTTAAAAGTAGTACTCTCTCCATTCCTAAATATAAGTCTTTGTAGAGATTTCACTAGATGAACTACATACGGAACAAAATGAATGAATCTACACTTAAAATGCATCTATATACATCTGTATGTGGTTTATGGTGAAATCTCTATAAAGACTTATACTTCCTCCATTTCACAATGTAGTGCTTTCTCTATCCACGTGCTTCAACTTTGACCGTAAATTTAACTGTGAAGACCGATTGCGGCGGGAGCAAAAATTATATCAGTGAATTCGTATTCGAATGAAGTTTTCAATTATATAATTTTTTCTCCCGCCGCAGTTGGTCTCGTTGGTTAAATTTATAGTCAAAGTTGGACCTCGGAAAGCGCGGCGCATTATATTTTAGAATGGAGGAAGTATTTAGGAACGGAGGAAGTAGTAGTTTCTTGTTTTTGAAAGCAAAAGAAAAAACTATGGCATATATTTTTTCGTAGTACGTGCAATTGACGTTGATATTTATTAGAGAGAAAAAATGATACTGATATTAGGTAGGATATCAGGACTAGTTGCTCTCTTTGAACATTCCACGTGGAGAGAGAAAAATGTTGAAACCGTGTGGTTCCTTGAACGATCTTGATGGATCGGAGACCACGTTTTTGGTGCGATCGACAGCGGTCGTAATGAACCTAGCAGCATGCGCATACATAGTTGACTGACGGTGACATCTGTATCGACATCGATGACCGATTTGATGGACCGACACCTACCAAATCAAACACCACGATTGATCTGCTCACCCAAATCGAGCAAAGCAGGATTTGGTTCGATCGTGTGTATGTATGCATGCACGCAGTATCATCTTTGCCTTCTTCTGCTCAGAACAAGTCAAAAGCTGTAGTATTACGTACGACTCCAAATCTTTTGGGTTGTACGTATACGTGTTGACCTAGCTAATTCGCCACCTAACTCATCATGCGTGCGGTTGTTTAAACGTGCAGGTTGACCCGCATGGGTCCGTACCATCCCGGCGCCACCACCGTCAGCGGCAACTCTCTTGGTGTGAAGAAGGAAGCGGAAGCAGCCTAGCTAGCTTCTGGGCTTAACTGATTAGCTTGATGTTCATTTGGTACTCTTGGTTATTGATTATAGATAGTTGTTCCGATGATTATCAGTGTATATTCATGTGTGTGGAAATGGAACCACGAGTAGTAGCACTAGTATAGATACGTGCAATAGAATTTGGTGGCGGTGGCTTAAGTTTGGTCAATGCGCTCTTTTTTACAGATGATTAATTTTGCATGCACTCATGCAAATGTATGTATGTAATATATGTATGTAACACTGTTTTATATAAGGGGTAGATCATTTGTATCGTTATACTCGCAAAAAAAAAAAGATCATTTGTATCAATATAACTGTTCTGCCATATACCATTTCTTCAGGGGTTGCAACCCTCTACGGCCGTTCAGCGATATCCTCTACTTGTCTTTTTTTGTTTGCAGGGTTAAAGGAATTTCATTGCTCAACCTGAAGGAAGTTTCTCCAAATAAAGTTGGGTACATTAGCAAGTTAAGCTCGGTTGCGTCCTCGCTTAAAGAGGTGATGAAAGAATTAAAACAATGGAGCATGGTGAAATTTGGAATTGTTTTAAAGAAGATAGAGTCACTGCGTAATAACCTCGCCAAGTTACAGCTAGCAGGTGCGGACCGGGCACATATTCGCACTAAAATGAATCAGCTTGATGAGTTGTTATACAGAGAGGAAATGCTTTGGCTTCAACGCTCCCGTATTACTTGGTTGAAGGAGGAAGAAAGAAACACCAAATATCTGCACCGACGTGCAGTCTGGCGTGCCCGCCGCAACCATATCCAACGTTTGTTGAAGGAGGACGGCTCGTGGAGCAATGTCCCAAGTGACATGGAGAGAATGGCCAACTCTTATTTCAAGGAGATCTTCACAATGGACCCAACACTTACTCCGGATGTGGTCCTGGATTGTATCACGCCGCGGGTTACAACCGCAATGAACGATTCACTTTGCAAGCCTTATACGGATGAGGAGATATCTAATGCCATGTTCCCGATTGGTCCCTTGAAGGCCCCGGGCTGTGATGGTTTCCCCGCTCGTTTCTATTAGCGGAATTGGACGGTTCTTAAAACTAAGATCATTGCTGTGGTTCAGGACTTTTTTATCACGGGGATTATGCCCGATGGTGTTAATGATACAACAATTGTTCCCATCCCTAAAGTTCCTCATCCAAAGGAACTAAAGGATTTTCGCCCAATCAGCTTGTGTAATGTGGTATACAAGATTGTTTCCAAGTGCATGGTGAACAGGTTGAGGCCCCTCCTCACGGACCTCATTTCTGAAAACCAAAGTGCATTCATTTCAGGGAGACTTATATCGGATAATTCTATCATTGCTTTCGAATGTATTCATCATATTCAGTCGATTAAGCATAATTCACCAAGCTTATGTGCCTACAAGCTGGACTTATCAAAAGCCTATGATCGTGTTGATTGGGAATTCTTGGAGAAGGCACTGGCCAAATGGGGTTTTTCTCAGCAATGGGTTTCTCTCATAATGGCTTGTGTCACTTCGGTGAAATATTCAGTGGAGTTCAATGAAAAGTTGTTGGAGCCTTTCTTCCCCTCGAGGGGGCTCCGCCAAGGTGACCCGTTATCCCCCTTTCTCTTTCTCTTCGTAGCTGACGCTCTATCTTCCTTGATCAAGAAAGCTATGGGGGAGGAGGGCCTCAAAGGGGTGAAAAATTACAGAACCACCCCGAAAATATCTCATCTTATTTTTGCGGATGATTCACTATTGTTCTTCCATGCGACAAAACAACAAGCAGGTTTGGTTAAAGGTTTGTTGAACACTTGATTAACCCGTCGAAGTTCTCCATTCTTTTACTGATAATTGCTTACCCATTATGGTTCAAGAGGTGAAAAGTATATTGGAAATCACCCAGGAGGTATTTGAACCCAAATATTTGGGTCTTCCAATTCCAGAAGGGAGAATGCACAAAGGAAATTTTGAAACAATTCAAGAGCGTCTAAGGAAGAAACTAACAGATTGGAGTGAACAATACACCTCATCAGGTAATAAGGAGATCCTTATTAAATCGATTGCTCAAGCTATTCCAGCTTATGTCATGAGTGTGTTTAAACTGCTAGCATCAATGTGTGATGAGCTAACACGTATGATCCGTCAGTATTGGTGGGGAGTTGAGAATGGGAAGAAGATGGCTTGGATGAGCTGGGACAAGTTGAGACTCCCAAAGTCCATGGGTGGCATGGGTTTTAGGGATATGAGTGCCTTTAACCAGGCCTTGCTAGCCAAACAAGCTTGGAGATTATTGGACACGCCGGACAACCTGTGTGCTCGCCTTTTAAAAGCTAAGTATTATCCTACAGGGCATTTGTTGGATACGGTCTTTCCGGCTACGGGATCCGCAGTTTGGAAAGGTATATTGCACGGTTTGGAACTTGTTCAGAGGGGGGTCATCTGGCGCATGGGTAATGGTACTTCTATCCGTACTTGGAGGGACCCGTGGATCCCGTGACCCTTCTCCCTACGGACGATCTCCCCGAAGGGTTCTTGCTGCTTCAACCGTGTGTCAGATTTCTTGGATGATAAGGGTGCATGGAGAGTGAATCGCATAAATGCAGCCTTCTAGCCTTTGGACGTTGATCATATTCTGAAAATCAGAACCTCTCCACGACAATGCGGTGATTTTATGTCTTGGTTTCCGGAGAAGCACAGAATGTTTACAGTAAAAAGCACATACAAGCTAGCTACCCAGGAGCATAATTTGATCCATGCTGCAGGGAGTTCTAGCACACATCCGGATGGTAATCGCACCTTATGGCACACCATGTGGAAAGCACCTGTGCCTCAGAAAATGAAGATCACTGCTTGGAGAGTGGTGACAGGAACGCTGGCGACGCAGCAATGCAAGAGGAAAAGACACATCTCTACACGGGCAACTTACCCTCTTTGTGGATTGGAGGAGGAGAGCACATTCCATGCGATGGTTTCTTGCTCGCAGGCACGTACTCTCTGGGTAAATATGAGAGCTAAGTGACCACTCCCGGGGGATGATTTCCTCATTGATTCTGGAAACGAATGGCTTATGCACTTACTTACCAAATGCTCTGTGGAAGTCCAGTCCATGCTGATCATGTTAATATGGCGAATTTGGCAGCTACACGATGACAAGTTCCATGGGAAGGAGGTTCCTCCGGTTCTTGCCTCAGTCGAGTTTCTAGATAGCTACTATAAATCAATCATACTTGCGGGGAAGTATTTAGAGGATGAAATTTTGAAGGGAAAGATGTCTACCTCGCCCATTGATATACCTTTGCAGAAGACGCTAAGCCCTCCAGCACCTTGGCCAGCCCCGGCATTGGGTACGGTGGCCCTCTCTATCGATGGGTCTTTCCAGATAGCAGATGGCTCGGCGGCTGCTGGGATGGTTCTCAGGAACAACGAGGGATCTATTCTTTTTGCGGCGTACAGGTTCATTTTCCACTGCAATGACTCGCTGGAAGCAGAACTACATGCGATAATGCAGGGTATGGCACTGGCAATTTAACATTCAAACCTTCCGGTGGTTTTGCATTCGGATTCTTTGGAGGCCTTGTCTAGCATGTCTAATGCTGCTTTGGTTCATTCGGCTTATGGCCATTTAGTCCTGGAGATCAAGGATCTTCTTGGTAGTAGGGAGTTTGTTCCTCAATAAATTAGTCATACTCGGAATAGAGTTGTCGGTCGGTTGGCAAATTATAGCCGATCTGAGCGTGCCACCGCCGTGTGGCTTGGCTCGGTACCACCTTGTATTGAGGATTTTTGGCCTCTCGACTGTAACTCTATGAACTTGCAATAAAAACTCCCTTTACTCTCGCAAAAAAAAAGTAAGGCCAGATTTTAGCCAAACTACCGCCCTAGCTTCTACACAACTAAAAGTCGCCAACTTGTGACTGATAGCATTTTGACACCTACTAATATGAGCAATAGAACAATCTTGTTTGTCACCGAGAAGCGGCTTCACTTCATTTATCATCATCACATGCAGCGACCTATCCTCCAATG